TATCTGCATGTGGGCAGGACTGCCTGGAGACGCATAGAGGAGCAGTGTCTCGGTGCCTAAGACCATCGGAAATTCTCATGTTTTCTGATGGTCTTGGGTGACCCCTCTGAAAGGGTCATTTGCCCCTCCCCACCAAAGGGGTTGCGACCCACAGGTTGAGAACCGCTGAACTAAGATGTACTCCCTGCGTAGATCCAGGTACTGTGCTGCACCAAGTACTTTAGGTGGCTTGTTCCATTTTATCCTCTAGCCAGTTCTGTTTTCTTGACCCCTTGCTAACCCAAATTCGCAGAGGAGGAAATGAAGACTCATCCTGGCCAAATAATCTGCTCCATTTGTCTCCAGGTGATGATGGAGCGAGTCTTGACTTGCGGCTGGGTGACTCCAGAGCCTGAGTGCTGCAGCCCCACATGAATCAGGCCCCAAAGGACGCAGGATCCAGAGGAGTAACCCTTGGGAGTGACCCGTGGACCAGCATGGGGAACGGGAAGAATGTCTACGATTAATGATGGGCACGTGTTTTTGAAATGTTGAAATTATGAAGAAGATGGGTTCCCTATCCTACATATCAACTGGAAAATTCTTGAATGGATTACTAAGCAAGTACATTACGAATGTTTAGAAAGAAAAACCATTTTTTTAAAACTGGCATTAAATAGATAGATCATCATAAACAAATGGTTATTTCCCTTTTGAGTAAACTCTCTACAGCTCAGGTTCAGTTGTAAGGATTTTTTTTTTTAATATTGCGGTGTAACCCACCCTGAAGGCTGTGGTCTTTGACCTTCATCAGTAAAGACTCTGTCATGCTTGCTTTCGTCAGCAAGGTTGGGTCATCTGCATGTTCCAGGCTGCGAATGAATTTTCCTCTAATCCCGAGGCGACACTGTTCACGCGACCCAGCTTCTTGGAGTGTCGACTCAGGATACAGGTTGCATAAGGATGGTGAAAGGATACAACCCTGCCACACTCCTTCTCGGGTTTATACCATCCCGCATCGTGGTCCATACACAGCTTTCACATGAACACAACGGAGAGAGCTAGGATGCCCACTCTTCATGATGTTATCCATTCTTCGTTGTGACCCACAGTCAAGTACATGACTTTGCATGGCCAATAAAGCTCTGTACACATCTGTCTGCGATTCTCTACTTTCAGCGACGACAGATCTGATGTCAGCAACGATATTCCCCTTTCCACGTCCTCTTCTGAATCGGCTGGGATTTCTGGCACTTCTCCCTTGACATACGGCTGCAGCTGTTTTTGCAGTATCTTCGGCTAAGACATATTTCATTGATTAGATGATGACGTGAGGCACTGTGCTCTTCGGTGATCCAGACAAGACTTCATGTCACATTACCCAAAACTTTCCTAAATGGGCAGTGACACCTTCTCTAAAGGAGACCTGGTGGTGCCACACAGCTAAGTGCCTAGCTGCTAGGAAAGGTTGGGGGTTCAAGCCCACGCAGAAGCTCTGTGGAAGAAAGGTCTGCCAATTGGCTCCCAGAAAGATTATAGCCCAGAAAATCGTATGTGGTGTTTCTCTGGGGTCACCTGTGGCTACATTGCACCCATGAACACCACCAGGCTTCATGCTTATTTTATACAGGAGGAAATTTTCAACTTGTCCCACGTACTATCTCCAACACTAGAGGGCTTCAAAGAGTTCTTGGGAAAAGAATTAAAAGAGAATGGCATTTTTCCCAGGAACTTTGGAAGACTCCTCATAATTGTGGACTAGACCTCCCCTTTGCAGGTTAAGATGAACATCTTTCTGATAGTTTCTGCTTTTAGGTAAGATTCCACTGATGCCACTAATGATAGTCCTCATTTCATGTCCTCCTTTGAAGCTTGTGCCATACCAGCCGTATGCGCCTTCACGTACACACACTCAAACAAACGAGTACACACACACGTCCCTCTGGTAAACTCAGCAGAATGCATGCTTAGCTGGGCAGTGTGGAGGGCTATGCAATATTAGGACTGGCTCGGTCATTCGGCAGCTGAGACGATGCACATTGAATTCCATCTTCAAGCTTAGCAGAACCTGCCATCCAAGGCACCTTCCCCCAAGGAGCTGCCTCATAAAAGAAGACTCCTGCAGAGTGGACCAGCAAGGCACCTGCAGGGGGAGCATTTTCACTTTTTCCAGTGCCTCTGGAGAACGCTCCACCTGTGGTACCCAGGGCCTCAGCCGGGTGTCACCAACACTGCCGCTGGGCATTGCTGGCCAGGGGACTTACCTTGCATTTTCTCCATCTTGTTCATGTACAGGTTAAAGAGCGAGTAGATGCGCTCCGTCTCCCGGTCCCCATCGATGTCAAGCTGGATGTTCGCCGGAAGGCCGCTGTCCAAGTAGGAGAGCCAAACACGACAGTGAAAACGGGTATCCACACAGTGCTGTCTCTGTCTACTCAGTCCACCAGCCCGTCAGTCACCTGTCATACAGTCGGCAGTGACTGTTCAGCAGAGCGGTGCACTCATCACCACAGTTTTAGAACATGTCCTCCTTTCTTGTCCTTCCTGTTCTTACCTCCCCATTTTCCCCTAACCTTCCCTATCCTGCCCCGAGGCAATCGATAATCCAGTCACTGTCTCTGTAGACTTACCCTGGATTTCAAATACACAACAAAATCAAGAATCAAACCAACAATGTAAAAAACAAAAAGACGAAATAAAACAGAGAAACCTCAATCGGAAAAAAAGCAGAAAATAATCAAAACTAGAACCACTTTAAAATGGGTCAAAAGGTAGATCACATGATATATGGTGTTACATTTTAACCAAACCGCATCTACCATAACAGAGTCTACAACATTCTGGTGGCAAGGCTACTCCCATCCCTGGACTATGGTCAGAGGGGAGTCACCAGGGGTTTCATCCACGTGCAGACCCTGCACATGGGTCCGGGGCTTCCCCTGTCATCCGTAGGCCTCTGCAAACTGGGTATTCAGGATTTATGGATTGTGATAAGAGTTGTATGAGCCCCTAACAAAATGATTAAAAAAAAAAAAGAATTTAAGCTCCCATACCATTCCCTCCTCCAGATTTGGATTTTATTATTTCTAATTTTTGTATCACACAGACCAGTGTACTTCTTCCAGTGTTACTATTTTAAAATCACTAAAGAAAGAAGGCCAAGTGGCCCAGCCTTAAAAACCGATCTCAGACGTAGGGGAGACTTGACAAGGGGAGTCGAGGCTCAGGTCCGGTCTTTTGTGTTTGGTGTGGAAGTGCTTGCACAGCATTAGAACCGGCTGTCCACAGCCTCGGGACACAGCAAGCTTTTGTTACCCACAGGCCTCCCCAAAGCACCACACAGACAATGCAGGCTTGCTTTGCCCAGGAAAGAACTGATGCTGAATCAAAAATATCCTCTACGGAGGCCAAGGGTGCTGTGTGGTTAGACTTCCACCTTCCACGCGGGAGGAAGACCAAGATTTGATTCCCAGCCACTGCACCTCAATGCAGCCCTCACCAAAATCTACCTCGGAGGGGTGCATGCTGCTATGAGGCTGAACAGGCTTGCACAGAGCTTCAAGACTAAGATGGGCTAGGAAGAGAGGCCTGGAGAACTGCTCCTGACCATCAGCCAGTGAAAACCCCATGGATCACACGGGGCTGATCTACCCATCGTGGGCAATGGTGCCTCATGTCCCCACAAGGCGGCAGCTAAAACAATGACTCAGATGGCCCTTGGGCACTGTGTTCCATCACCAGGAAGACACCCCAGGTGGGAAGAGCTGGGGTTGCTTCCCCCCTGAAGCTGATGTGACTTCTGTGGAGACGGTGTCAGAGCTATGCAAAGGGGGTGGGGTGGGCTGGCAGACACCCACTTCCTTCCTTCCTTCCCTGCCTCAGCCTCGGAGCAGCCCGGCAGGCGGGTCCAGGAGAAAGGCTCCAGTGTTTTGATAACATCCACTCCGGAGCTTAGGCCCTGCTCCACCACAGGGAACCGGACCAGTTTCCACTTCTTCAGCTCTAAAACAGGACCATCAAGTTCCCACCGCTAAGGCTTTTGTGAGGCTGACACGAAAGGTGCACACACACCTAGTCCGCTGCAGGACACCCTAGCTGTCATCATTGTCATGTGCAGGGGTCACCATGAACACAACCATGGGGCTAGCCGGTGGGCTGGGGGCAGCCGCTAGCTTCAGGGCTAGCCCAGGTGTCCTGGATGGAGCCTCTTAGGAGCCACAGAAAGCCCAGATGAAGAAGCAGCTGAGGAGAATGAGCCAAGGGAGCGTGTGCACTAGATTTCCGTAGCAGAAATCCTCGTGGGCGGTTTCCTCTACCAGCAGGACTGGTGGGACATTTGCAGACTCTTTTCAGAGAGGTGCTGGCACACTGCCTTAGAGTGCCTTCGCAGACACCTGTTCCCACCCTGTGCCCTGCCCTACGCCTCCTCCCCCACAGGAAGCACCCACCCCACTTTGCTCCGGTTTGTGATCGCTGAATGCTTTTAAGAGTTCATGAAAGCCAGTCCTGGGAGGAGGAGGTCAGCACTCTGGGCCAGTCGACAGAGAGCCAGGAGAAAGGTGCCCCTCACTCTGGGGGGAAGGCTTAGGAAAAGGTGCATCGGCTCTGCCTCTGGGAGACACCGACACCTGGGGGCGTGGGGGCGCTTGCTCAGTGGTGGTAGGATTTGTGCCCGTGTCTTGTGCAGTGCACAGACTAGACAATGGTCCTCGGCAGCCCTGGGTAGCTGGGTGTGGCAGTGTGAGGACGGCTGTCCAGCATCCTTGCCGCCCCCAGGCACTGGCTTGAGGTAACACTTCCCAGAGGCAGCGGGGCTCCAGCGGGGTGGTGAGCGGCCCACTTACCCGGTGCAGGGGGTGCAGCCGGGGGCAGAATCGGAGGAGGCCTTGCAGCACAGCCAGTGGCCGTTCAGGTAGGCAGAGGGGTGGTACACGGTGAGACGCTTTTTGTTGCACTGGCTGACTTTGGTGAGGATGTCGATCCAGTCCTTGGCCTCCACGCAGTTGTTGGCCTGGATGTACAGTGCTCTCTCGGGCTGAATGACCTGGAACATCTGAGGAGATCCCCAGCACAAGTTTAGGAGGGGCAGGGCAGCAACACCTCGGACAGAGGGCGGGGGCGGGGTGGGAGGAACAGGCTCTGGTTAATTCTGGCTACCAACCTCCTCGGGGCCTTTGCTCCCAGCATACTGAGGGCCAGCAGGTGCTTGGCTGCTACCCCTGGTGCCTGGAGGACACAGAGGTCTCAGACAAAAGCCCAGGGCTGCTGGCCTGAGGCTGTGACGCTCTGAGCACCAGGAAGGGTCTGAGTGTATGTGCAGAAGCAGACGTTCCGCTGCTCTTGGACTTGATGTTCCCAGAAACCACAGCCCTTCCCCTGGAAGCAAATGGACTGAGAGGCAGGCAGTGGGTCTGGGGAAACCAAGGAAGTGAGATAGCGAGGAGGGGTGGTCCCCTAGAGCCACAGCCTGGATTCTGATGTCCAGCCTTCTGAATGTTGAAAAACATAACTCCCTACTCTTTAAAGCTATCCACCTGTTAATCCACACAGTCTTGTTACAGGCAGTGCCTTTGTTAAAGGCAGCACCAGCTGACTAAGTCAGGGGCACCGAGAGTGTTTCAGGCAGGAGGCACATTTCAGTGCAAAGGTCCAGGGATGGGCACTCTCAGAAGGGAACAGACCAGCCTACACACAGAGTGAGAAAAGGGCAGGAAAGGGGGAGGGGATCCTTGAGGGTGTAGGCTGGACTGATCTGAGGACAGTGAGTGGGACAATCAGAGGACATCTGGGGACACCAAGAAGGAGGTTATAGCAAGAACCAGGGCCGGTGATGGCTGTCACCAACAGGGAAACACAGAAGGTAAGAATGGGATAGACAGGCTCTCTGGGGACCATCCAGGGTCAAGCCCATGGCATTTCTGCAGATTGGATATTGAGGGAGGGCTAGGAAGCAGTTTAAAGGTGCTGGTCATTTCCTGGGTAAATAGCTGGGGGCTCATCTACAGAGACAAGAGGCTCTTTCCTCTACCCACAACCCCCTGGGCGTGCGCATGCACGCGCACATAACACACACACACACACACACACACACACACACACACACACACACACACACACACACACACACACACACACACACACACACACACACACGGCAAACTTTGCATGCGGTTGTATGAGTGGCTGTGATCCCCAGTCAAGGCCGAGCCTCCCTGTAGAAGAACCATGCTCGGTCCATCAGGATGGAGAGATCTGACTTCTCCCACAGGGACAGGCATCTAGAATCTCACCATCCCAGCTGTCATCAATCCCGATTCAAGACGACCCATGCATGTGTGCACAGGGGGACTGAGCTCCAAAGGGTCTTCCTGGCTGTGAGCTTTGGGAAGCAGATTACTGGCCCTTTCGTTCAAGGCATCACTGGGTGGATCGGAGCTGCCAGCCTAGCAGTTATAAGCCAAGTGCTCAACCGTGCGTGCCAACCAGCGACTCTCCGTTGGCACACAGCAGGTCTTCAGGAGCCCCTCTCCTATGGAACAGCACATTGGCCCACCAGTTCCGGCCGGGCCCGCGGCCGAGTTGGGGAGCTGTTTTGGGGGAAGGCAGCAGGAAAAGAAAACAAAGCCACTGAAAAGATGCTGCTACCACGAGGGAATTGCCTGACCCCTAAGCCAAGGACCCGGCAGGTGCTTCCAGAACGGTCTCCACACTTGCTTCCTTCCAGGGGACAGTGCGGGAACACCACAGGCCTTAAGGGCCAGCATTTCCCGGGCCTCGCTCACTGCTGGTTCTGAGTGAGACCCACAGCAGGTGGCGGCCACATGAGTCATTGCTGCCGTGCCGCTCCCTGGCTGTGGAGAGAGCCTGGTTCTGAATCACAGCCCAGTGCGTGAGGAGGTGGGGTACCACAGGGAAGTCCTGTTCTGCCCATTAAAAAAAGAACTCTAAGGGAGAGAGGGAGAGAGAGAGAGAGAGACTCAAGGTCCGGGATAGCTCATTCTCCTGGAAAAGGAACCAAACCCAAACCAAACAGCCTGAGCCCCTGCTGTCGCTCAGTTGACCCTGACTCATCGGTCCCGTGTGGGCACAGGAGGACTGCATGCCAGGGAGCTTCCTGAGGGGAGTCACCAGGCCTGTCTTCTGAGCTGAGCGCGGCCCACTCACTTTTCCGGTCATGGTCTAGCACTTACCCAAAGACTTGGAAAAGGTACCAGGGACAAAGCCACAGTCCCGGTGTCTCGCTAGGCGATCTGCTTGCCCACAGCATCATTCCCAAATAACCCCAGGGAGGGGGTGCTGGATGGCCTCACGCTGACCGGCAACCGCATGAAGAACAGGCACGCCTGACATAGGTGCAGGGCGCCTACTGTCTGTGACCGGCCCGGCCCCACCCTTCCTCTTCTCCAAGCAAACAGAGCAGCTGCCGCAGACAAGCCCCCACAGAGAACTCTCCAACAACAGGGACCAGCTGCCTGACAAGGCCCTCAGGAGTCTTTGACGTTCATTGCTTCTGCGGGGGTGGGGGTGGGGTTGTGACTGAGGAGACCCCCTGTGACAGGGGGGGAGTGCCCTCTGGGTTTCCTTGGCTGGACTCTATGAAAGGAGAGAGCCAGGCCCTTCTTCCACAGGCTGCTGGGGGTGGGGGTGGGGGTTGAACCGGCCAGTCTTGAGGTTACTAACAAAGGACCAATTGTGTGTGCCACTCAGGGAGGGGCCTGGGTTGTCCCCCAGCCACAGTTAAAACAGGTCATGGACTTTGGATCCCTTCTAGTTTTCAGTATTTCGTGGTTGGTTTGTTTTTTCCGAGAAAGGGTTTTCCTTTGGTTTAATATTGTCATGGGTCTTTTCTTCCTCTGTTTTAAATAAATATATACATTGCTGTTTTCTTTTTGGTACATTTTCCAGAATATAAAGCACAGGATGGGAGGATGTATAGAGACAACAATTGGTCTATAGGGCTTATGGGGATGGGGGACTTGGGGGAGAGGTTGGAGAGAAATGGGGAGCAAATAAGGAACGGAGGGGAAGGGTGCTCTCGAACTGACTGTGGTGATGTATACACAATTCTCTCTAAATATGACTGGACATGGAAGTGTATGCCATGTGATATGTGTCTCAATAAAACGATCTACTGGATGATGGAAGGGTGTGCTACGTGATATGTATCTCAAAAGATTGACTGGACATGGAAGTGTATGCTATGTGACACATATCTCAATAAAGCCATGGACTGGACGATGGGAGGATGTGCTGTGTGATACGTATCTCAATAAAAGATCGACTGGACGATGGGAGGATGTGCTATGTGATACGTATTTCAATAAAATGATGGGGGAAAAGAGGGCCAACTGTGCATAGCTTTTCGGATCTGGTCAGACATAGTCTTGATGGGGTGTCAGCCCATCTCCCATTTCTCTTTGATGCATATGTGCCAAATAAAATTTTGTTTTCTCTTCAAAAAAAACAAAAGAGGAGAAAATGTCCTTTCTTCAAATCAAGTGCAGTACCGGTCTGCCTTTTACTTCCTTTCTCTTATCTCTTCCAAATTGACCCTTTCTTTTGGTCAACAGCATTTATCATAACCTCTGAATGGCACACAGACTTCTTCTCTCCTACCTCATCCACCAGGCCACCTCCAAACCCCACTGCTTGTCTAAATGGGAAAGAGAGGCCCTGAAAACTGGACATGTTACTTTAATTCTGAATATAAACGTTTCATCAAAGCAAACTAACAAAACCCAGGTCATTGTGCCGACCACAGTCCTAGTATGATCTTAGACACCTGCTGAGTCCCGGACAGCCAAGCTTGCCTCTTGAACGAGGATTTGACTGTGATGAAGAGAAGTCAGAAGGAAGACTCGGGGAAAGAGTGAATCCGAGAGGAGGCGGGCCAGACAGAGCTCAGAAAGTGTTCTTCCGCTACTAGTCACCCAGGAAGCGTAACTTGATGCTCTCTCTCCCCTTGGGCTTCTTTCGGATAAAACACAAGCCGGAACATCTCCTGCAGAACACTGGGCCCAGCCGGCAATGACACATGGGCTCTGTTTGCGAGCGCCAGGGATGCCATGGGTCTTTCATGCATTTCTGTTCCATAGAAAAACAATTCACGGTTGACATGCTAACCGACCCCTTCTCTGGAGAGGCTAGAAGCCCCTCACGACTGACTGCCGATCCAATAGTGAGCTGGCTGGCGAGCTTGGAGGGCTGTGGAACTCACAGTTCTCTAGTGGCGGGCCAAGGTCCCAGCTCTCCAGGGGCGCCCCCAAAGACCAACATGCGATGGTGATGATGACACAAGGTCCAATAAAGGAGCAAACAGCTGGGGCTGTCCAGGAAGGGAGGCATGAAGGACCGGTGGACTGAGGGCCGAGTGGCAACAGTACTTTATTCCCAACCCTGTTTCAAACTGCCAACACACGCTCTTAAGACCTCACACTGACTTTCCCTCTGTTTGCTTTTAAAGGGTCTTTGGACAGTGCATGCCTTTGTACCTATGCCTGGCGTGGCCGGCTCTCAAAACTCCCACGCCCAGATGTCCCCAGTAATAGCCTGAGAGCAAACAGAAAAGGGGGATTCCCAGAGCCGTTTCTGGAGTGTTTACACCGTTAATAGAAACTGACACAGTGCTGGTGGTTTTATTAGGCTTTTTATACTTGAGCACACAGCCACTTGCTGGCCTTCCATAGCATCATTTCAAACTGTGACTTTGAGACAACAGAAAGTAACTTGCTGTTGCTCTCTGCAGATGTGAGTTCCAGGTTGGCAGAATCCCCAGGAAAATCCAGTCTGTGCTCACAGACCCTCAGGAGAGGCTGCGTGTTATGCCATCCACCAGCCTCCTCAGAACCGTTCCAGTTCCTACAGCCCAACCTGGGGCAATGTGAGCATCAAAATGAACAATGCCCTGGTGGGTGGTGGGTTATATGTTGTGGTAGTTACATACTCAGGTGTCAATTTGAGGATTCAGAGTGAAGGGGTGGAGTCTGGCCTGTCAATCAGATCATAGCCAATGAGGCTTCTGTATGGGCATGTCCTTCTCCTGAGGATTCTGGGAATGCATGTATTTCCTCCTTGGAGGCAGGAGACATTCATTCATTCATTCTCTCTCTCTCTCCTCACTCCCTGCAAGACATCCCTGTGGAAAAGACACAAGGCGAGAAACTGATGGAGCCAGACCTCTGGAGCCGGAGAAGCCACTTGGAGACCCCCGCCAGCGCTGATATGTTTACAACGCCACTGGATCCACAAGACTTCCTACCCACTGGCCTGTGATCTTCCTGCACTTGACATCATTACATGTGTTTTGTGAGTCTGAAGAGGGCTTTATAGATTGGTATCAGAGATGTGAGCTAATATTGGACTTATGGAGTTGATCTGGACTGGACTGGGATGTTTTCTCAATGTTCAACTGCTCTTGTATATAGAGCTCTTTCCTACACACCTATGAGTGTCTATGGATGTGTTTCTCTAGTCAACCTAAACTAACACATGTGTTGGGCTGCTAACTGCAAGGTCATTGGTTTGAAACCACTATATGCTCTGCTGGTGAGACTTTCTGATCCCATAAGGAGTTACAGTCTTGGAAACCCAGGAGACAGTAGTTCTGTATCCTGTCCTAGAGGACCATTATGAATCAGAACCAACTTGAAGGCAGTGAGTTTGTTTGCTTTTTGTTTTGTTTTTAATAAGTAAACGGAGAAGAGAAAGCTTTCAGCCTAGCCAAGAAAAACACGGAAGGGATAATAGAGCTAGGAAACCATTGTGGATATTGAAATGAGTGAGGGACGTGAGGAGGCACAGGATATTTACAGAGTTCAGTGCCTCTCCCCACACGTTATTTACAAACTATATGGGAGATACAGTAAGCTTACAGAAGGTCAGACACTCTGACCTAACGTCAGCGAGGAGGGCAGGCCCTCGTGATAAGGTGCATTATGAAGGACACAGGGCAGGCCTCTGACTCTACCCACAGCCAGCCCCCAGAGGAACCCCAACCAAGAGTCAAAAGTAAACACCTGGCTGTACGCTGCAAAGGCCAAGGCCAAAAAACAGAGGAAGGAGCCAAGAAAGACAACCCAAAGTAGGTGATCCTGGGCTCCTGCCTAGTCTAAGCAAACACCCCCCAAACAACAAATAACCCCAGTAGCTTTAATGCTGCTGGACCATTGGCAACAGTTCACATAGGCTGTGAGGGAGGTGTATTGTATCAAAGTTAGATTTTCTGATGTTGGTAACTATATTGTCGTTAGATAAAAGAATATCTGTGCTTTTAAGAATGCACCCTAAAACACATGGTTTGGGGGAAAATTCATGATACATACGAGGAGAGAGGATGAATAGGATTAAGCAAATGGGACAAATGCAACTACGAGTAAATCCACATAAGGCTGCTGTAGGAGTTGCCTTGTTCTATGTTTCTAATTCTTTTTTGTTAAGTCCAAAGTTTTATTAAAGTAGAGTTTTTAGTAAGCTCATCAGTGGACTTGAACTCTGTGTTTGGGTGTCCTGTAAAAGGGGATCATGTGTGTTCCCCAGCCACCCGAGGAAGCCCAGGGGGTGAATTTCTGGTCCCACTCAACCTTGGATGTGGTTTTGGGTATAATTACACGGCTCTTCGTGAATCCCCCAGGGAACATGGAGAGCTAGAGAGGATGGGCAATGCTCAGGGCTTGTGGGGGAACCGGAGTCACAGCCATTTTTAAAGAGGACAGACGGAGGGCAGGTTACACTGGGAAGAATCTTGGACAAGCACTCACGTTTTTCATCTTGAAGGATTCTTCCTCCAGTTTCTCCACTGCCAGAATGTTCTCGAGGGGAATGCTGTAGAGGGGCTGGTCGCCTGCAGGAGGCCGGCAGGGAGAGATGTTAGCAGCCAGAACTGGGCCACCCTGCACCCCATTCAATGACAATGGCCCGACTTCCCTGTAATATTCAGCAAGGAAAGACCGGCGTGGCTTCCCCTGGCAGGCTGTGAAGTTTCAGGGTGCTATCGGGCTGCAGGGTGGGGAGGTGAGGAGACATCCAGTCCCATCCACCCTTGTTTCTCATCAAAGCACGTGGCCCCAGGTGAGAAGACTAATAAAATGACAGGCCAAGAGCAGGTTCAGAGGGTCGAGATGGCAGGAGACAGAAGGGACTTTGGGATCCGGGGGCCTCTGTGAGGCATGTCCACAGACTGACTGTGTTACCAAGTTGGCCTTTTGTATACTCCTATGTACCACTGGGTTCGTGCAAGGTCAGCAGTTTGAAACCCACCAACCCCTCCTCTGGAGAAAGAAGAGGTTTTCTATTCCCGTAAAGATGAATAGTCTCAGAAACCAACAGGGATGGTCTGTCCTGTCCCACAGGGTCCCCATCAAGGGCAATACTTCATGGATGTTCCTCTCATGCTCCCTCCTAACTCTAAACATGTCCCCCCAATACGTGTGTAATGGGGTTAATAGTTCTCTGTATGCACTATGGCCAGGGATTCCACTACTCAATATTTTTCCTGAGGAGAAATGACTTTCTCAACATATTTATAATTTAAGCTGGAGGTGCATTTAAATGCTGGGGTGGGGGGGGGGCGGGGAACCCAGCAGGCAAAATCAGGCCGAGGACGATCACCGACCTATTAGATCATAACTTCTCTATTGCATGCTGAGCGAGGTGAGCCTCCTCTTTCCTCTCACTACCACCTGCCTTGCCAACACCAGTCCCACCACAGCAACGGTACCACAGCCTGGACCTCGCTGGCACACACTGCCACAACAGTCACTCACCCACTGGGACAACTGGCCAGGACACTGACTACCTTAAAAAGAAACGTTGTTTACTGTTCAAAGCTTTCCCTGGTAAGAGGATACATAGCTTTAACAGCAACAATAAGAATGTATTTTTTTCTTCCTCCTGAGACGGTCTGAGGCTAAGTAAAAAAGTATTGCTATCAACCAAACATCAGAAATGCCAAGCTCCTGTTTTGCCCCACCGAGCTTCCCTCGGGGTGCAGAGGCTTCAGGGTGAAGTGTTCCCATCGCTCTCCCCAGGGCCGATGAAGTTTATGCGACCTGATTTCACACTGCGGCAAAATGGCAGGTCGGCATCCTGAAGGGACTCAAGCCCTGCTCTTTGAGTCTGCGGGGGCAGGGCCAATGCTCTAGGGTGGATGGCCTCACGTGTCTCAGGGGAATGAGCTTAGGACAGGCCCTGCTACCCTGCAGGAATGAACAGGTACATTGTCATGTCGGGGACTCCTTGGTGCAACTACCCCGAACTGCTTCTCCTAAATGGAGTTTTCAATTTTCTGGAAACTTCTAAGAAGCCCCTGTGATCATCTGTGTCCTTAGAGAAAATGGATCAAGATTACCCCTTTGGAGTGCCCAAAGGCTGTCCCCATGACCTTCTGAGCTGACCTCGCTGCACTGAATTTCAATGGCCCAACAGACTCCCCCGCAGACGCCACTGGTTTAAATGCCCCCCCTTTCCTAAAGGCACCCCAATGAGACTGACAAGTGGCTGCTGCAGGAACTTGCTTGACAAGTTTAAGCACATTTCGGTCTGGAGAAAGCCAGGGCACGCACGAACTGGAACCCTGGTAGCAATCCTTTTGCGGGGGGCTGGGGGTGGGTGGGTGGGTGGGGGTGTTTTTTAAACTTCCTCTCGTATTTAAATGACAGCATTGGGTTATTCTATTTATTCACTGCAGCATATGTCCTAACGATTAGAAGGGCTTATATCTCTTTTTACGAGTACGGAACAATGGACGGGAAGAGGGCAGTAGAATGGTGCCAGCTCAGGGTCCGGGACTGAGCAGAGAGTGATAATGCTGGAGTCTCTGGTTCAGTAGTAGACTTTCTCTCCCACGTGGGAGGCCGGCGTTCAGTTCCTGGTGAATGTCCCCCCGCCCCGCCTGTACAGCTACCGCTCATTGGTCAGTGGACACTCGCCTGTGGCTATAATGCGGAACACGTTTCAGTGAAGCTTCAACACTAGGAAGAAAAACCAACTGGCTTATTTCCAAAAATCAGCCCACCCAAACTCTAGGGACCACAATAGTCCCTTCATGTCCACTCAGAGGGATGGCATGCAGTCAGGCAGTGCTGTGTTCCATCGTGCCTGAGGTTAGCCTTGGGTCAAGAGCCAACTTGACCACAGCTAACACCAACGACAGGGAAACTAAAGGAGAACAGATTCTTGGAAAAGGGAGAAAAGACCCTATTCAGGACACCCAGGTTTGCATTTATTGATCTAATTAGGAATTAGCTTCCCCTAAAGGTTGATTTCCCCCTTACCTTTCTCTCTCTCTTTTTTTAAGCAAAAGGGAAGAAACTGATTGGAGCCCATACGGGGAAACCCTAGAGGGGCCCAGCATCCCCTACTGTGTCGGCATGCCCAGCAAAGGGTCACACCATTCACTGCACCCCATGTCCCAGAGGGACTCCCCTTGAGCACCTTACCTTTCAAAGGAGCAGAGAACTCAAAGGATACCAAACCCATAGTCGTCCAGCTCATTCCAACCCACAGCAATCCCTTAGGACATCGTAGAACTGTCCCATAGGATTGGTGGCGTAGTGGTTGTGCATTGGGCTACTAACCGTAAGGTCAGCAGTTCAAAACCACCAGCCACTCTTTGGAAGAAAGACAGGCCTTTCTCCTCCCATAGAGTTACCGTCTCAGAAACTCACCGGCCAGTTCTACTCTGTCCTACAGTTGGAACCAACTGGATGGCAGGGAGTATGGTAATACCTGTAGAGAAGCACAGCGGCACATGGCTCTCCTGCCGAGGAACTGATACCTTTCGGCTAGTCACTGAGTGCCAATCACGGCGCCGCCAGGGCTCCTAAATACAGTATAGGAGATCTAACCAAGAAAACAAAATCCTTGGTAAAGTAGAGCGCTGTTCCTATTCAACTAGTGTGGACCACAGAAATCAGACCAAGCTCACTGCTGATTCTGACTCACAGTGGCCCTAGAAGGCAGGATAGAGCTGTCCCTGTCAGCTTGCAAAGCTGTGAGTCTTGATGGACACAGAGAACGGTGGGTTTGAACTGCTGACTTGGAGGTTACCAGCCCAATGCTTAGCCCACTATGCCGCCAAGGCTCCTCATGGGCCACAGAGAACTGTGCAGAGGGAGCTTTAGATTCCCTTGGAATCCACTTCCTTCACAAATGTCCCCCCTTTTCAGCCCACTGTCTGCTGGTGAGAGGACTGCGTACCTTTTCACTGGTCAATTCAACAGCGAAGGGACACGCCTTCTCCATTTCCCAGCTTTCCCTTCGGAAGATTCACAGCTAAGCCCCACAGAAGCATGAACAAAGCTCTTGGTGTCTTTGGATGAAGGCATGTGAAAATAAATCAAAAGCAAACCTTTCTCGTTACCTTTGCTTTTCTGATAGGTGAATTCGTGGTTTGTCAGGCGGAACCATCTTTTCTTAAAATTCTTCATTCCAAAGCGCTTTCTTCCTTGTGCCCGCTTAATCATGAACCTAGCACACACAGGACACACTACTTGCATGAATGCTCTCACACCTCACTCGGCCCGTCCCATTCCCACCCAGCCCAGGGCCCACCGGGGAGCCGGTCGGCTCAGATTTGCACAATCAGCATGCTTCGTGACTTCCCTGTGAATGACAGCAAAGCAGACTAAGGGCTGGGGGAGACTTTATAACTTTTCTTTTCTAGGGATCAGATGTAAAAACAAAATGAAACAAAACTTAAATCAAATAAATGCCTTTGCTTTTGAAAAACGTAGCCCCTGGAATGATGTCAACTTTAAACGACGAATTGGTGACAGCAGTGATGTATTTTGATGACTGCCCATAAAATAGTTGGGCCCTCCCTCCCCATTCCCCTCGCGGAATCTGACCACCACAGCAGATCCTACTACCAATACCAACCAAAACACGGCTCCTGGGCAATATGTGTGACAACAGCCTCACAGAGCTGTGAGTCTTGCTTGGGAAAAGCAACCCATTGTAACAAACGCTTCGCCGACTGCCTGGTGGGCCTTCCATGGCTCAGTGTAGCCAGAAATTGGAGCGCACGGGATTTCCCATTCCTTTCACAAGCGAGCCCTCAAGTGTGAATGTTTCCGGTGGGCCCCCAACTCCCATCAACAGAAAGTGCACATGAGCCTTCTCCGTCGGAGGAGCTGCAATTGCGAGACGTGTCAAGAACAACAGATGAAAAGCTGCCAACTCCACTCCTGGCTTCCCATCTCCCATATGAAGAATCAGACAGGAGGAGAGAGACACAACTGGGCAGCAGGGAGTTGGAGGCTGACGCTGTGGGCGTGCGGTCGGCGAGCCCAGGGTCCTCCACACCGAGTCGCGGGAAGCACTGATGCCTCCCTGCCGTCGACTGGGGAGACTGGGGAACTTGGGAGAAGTGGAGATGGTGCCCCTTTCCTCCAGCCCCTGGCTGACATCATTAAGATTGCCTTTGCAGGTAGCCGCAACGTGCTGCGGGTCTCCCGGTGTCAGAGCACTTAAGGAGGATGTCCTTTCTTCCCTACCACCCAGTCGCGGTTTGTGCAGTGCACAGGATGTCTGGTTACAAGGGTGCAGGCACAGGGCTCCCCTGAGGCTCGCCAGGGGGTGAGGCAGGCTTGCCATCGAAGCGGCCAGCCCACGCCATCGTTGTCCTTCAGAGCGTCAGGAAGAGCAGGTGGATGTTTCGGTGTAGCGACACACAGGCCACGGTGATACCACAAATCCACAGGCGGATGGTGGTGAGATTGCAAAAAGCAGATGTTCGGCTGGTCGTCAAAATGATGGAATGGATGAAAAAACACACGGGAAGTCAACCACACAAGACTCTCCGGTAACAGATCAAAGCCGGCACGAGGGATCACAAGGTCTTCTCTTCCAGTTTGAAAAGCTTCCCCAACTGAGTTGAGAGCAAAACCCCACAGCGGCTCTCCTTTAGACTTGTTACACAGTTCTACATACACACACACACATGAAGTCGAGAAACTGCACCATAAGTAGGGTTTGTCTTTGACCATGTTTCTTGACACACAAGTGCTGACGCTCCAAGAAATACTCTGCCCCTTCAGTACTGTGATGATGACTGTTTCTTAAATCAATAGCTCAGGATGTCCCTGGGTTGTTCCCAAATTGCAAGGGGGAAAGGAGACGGGTAGGTTTGTGAATGGCATTTCAGAGGAACCACAAGCTCCCTTCCCAGGTGCTGACAACCCCATCTGTAGCTGCTTCTCTACCCCTGCAGATCTACCGCAAGTTCAAGGGACTTGCTGCTGACTCCAAACAGCTTACCTGAGTGAACTATTCCCAGAAACCGATTTCATGGTGAGTTTAAGAGTCCGTAGCTCGGCAATCAGTAGGCCGAGCAAGAAGGGACAGGAAAACAATCAGAATGAAGCAAATAAAAGACCCGAACCCCCAAACCGAACTCACTGTCATGGAGTCGATGTCTACTCATAGCGACCCAACAGGGCAGGGTGGAACTGCCTCTGTGGGTTTCTGAGACCTTTTGAATCATGTTATCGTGGGCTCTTAAAGCTCTTATCACAATCCATACATCCATTGTGTCAAGCACATTTGTACATGTGTTGCCATCATCTTTTTCAAAAGAAAGCCCCATCTTTCCCAATGAAAGACAGACGTAGGAAAATTATGTAAGAAAATCAAAGCTGAAGCCGATGGTGTTGGGGCAAATGGACACAAAAGGACTGAATGAAAAGACATTTTTCTTTAACAGACTGTGAAAGTGTGTAATCACAGCAAGGAACTGACACAGGGCAGATTATGGAATAGTCACAATACATCGAAAGTGGGATCAGAGAACTATTCTCCCAGATGCAGTTCAGATACAGAGGGTGTGGTTCACTGCGACAACGTTTGCAGGAGCAAAGATCTCATGGTAACCATGTGGCCACCACCAGGGGACTAGAAAAATAAACATAATAAACATTCAAAACAAGTACACACAGAAAAGGCACTCACGTTTCCCATCGACACACATGCATGCCAATAAGCACATGAAGGTGGGCTAGAGGAACACCCAAGCACTATGCCACAGTGGGTGCCCACAGGAGAGGCTTTGCATGGACCACCGAGGATGCCGCTGGTGCAATACACTAAATATGGGGAGCTCAAATCTGTGCCACCGGGGGCACAGCATTAAATCTGAATTAATCAGAGACACTGGACCACTCAATAGCTAAATTAGAAAGGGAAAGTTGTTCTTATCGTCATTGTTGCACCACAAGATGAACAAAAGTGCACTGAACTGTTCATGCAAAAAAATGTTGAAATGGCCAATGATGTGTTATTTCCCTCCTACCCTCACTAGTTGACTATCTTCAGCTCTGACAGTCTGCAGTGATGACTGCAGTAAAAGCTCTACTCTCCGTTTTTGCATCCACATCTGGTCATAGCGCATACTCAGGTGTGAGGTGCGAATGTGATGTCTGAGGTTGCGTGCCAACTCGGCTGGGCCGTGATTTTCTGTGGTTTGGCCAGTTGTGTTATAATGCAGTCACCTTCCACTTGGTGATCTGATGTAGTCATCCTCCATTTTCACCTAATTTGAATTTTTTAAAAATCCATTAAGTAGGTCTTTGGAAACGAACTATGTGGATCCGTGAGGAGAGGTATGAATTCCCACCGCCACCTCAACAAAAACTTTATTGCTAAAAGGATCTCTTATATGCACAATTTTCTTAGACCTTAAATATATAAGAAGGATCCCTGTGGTGCTGTAGGATAAGCAACTGACTGCTAACCATAAGGACAACAGTTCACACCCACCAGTGGTTCCGTAAAAATGAGGTTATCTGCTTCCACAAAGATTGACAACCTCAGAAACCCTCCATAGGGTTGCTCTGAGCCGGAACTGATTCCATGGTGGGGGTTGTGGGTGGTGGTGTAAATATCCATGGTTACTGTTGTTGCTAGGTGCTGTTGAGTCCGTCCCAACACAGCAACCCGTGAACAGCAGAAGGAAACACTGCCCAGTATATATTGAAGAGGCTTTATAGAAATGGTATTTAGATACATTTTCAAGTCATTACTTTTCTACCTAAGGTGAAATATATATAGAGAGTCCTTAGCTCTGCAGTCAGCAGGCCGAGCAAGAAGGGACAGAAAAATAATCAGAATTATATATATATATAAATCACCCCAACATTGACTGCCAAGTTCTTTTACTTAAAAAAAAAAGTTCTTGTTGAAGATCAACTAGACTGCCACATTTTGTCACAGATAATTCATTCGGTGACTACTTATAACTGGAGTTAAATTTAATAGAGGGGGTTTGGGAGACAAGAAATTCAGGACTGACTGGTGCATGGAAACTGAGATTCAAAACAAACTAGCGTGGTCCGGTGTACGCATGGTTTATGCTAGCACTCAAAGTGCAAATATATGTAAGTATCAGGGGCATCGAATCAACTTGAGTCTCCTGGCAGGTGTCAAAATAAGGAACATCATTGGGGTGCCATAGAGTTTAAAAACAAACAAACACCTCAAGGGTTTTAGTGGACCCAAACCTCAGCATGCATCAAAACTGCGCCAGAGCTGCAGGATAAATGTGCATACAATCTGTGGCTGCGTCAGCCTGAGCCCAGTCAGAAGTGGAAGGAAGCGGGGCTCCCACTGTGCTCTTGCATGACTAGACAGCTGTGGTTGGTGTAGTTTCTCTATGTACGGGATGTAGTTCTCATGAGCATTCAAGTGATTGTGGGAGGCACTGAACGGAGATTTCCACCTGTGACAGTTGAGAGTTTATTTAATGTAAAGTAGAAAGACATGTACCTAGCACGTCACTCCTGACAGTAGCAGATCTGATTGCTAAGACCCGGCTAACTTCAGAGCAGTCGGCTCAAAGGAGGACGATGACAGCAGTGTCGCCGCCATGACACAGGCCAACGATGGTGCATGGATGAGGCTCCAACATGCTCTCCAAGGGTACGGGGAGCTCAGAGCGACGAGAGGCAGTGACGAGGGGTCTAGGGAGGCGTCAGAGGACAAACGGAGGAAGGAACTAGGTACACTGTGGGGATGTCAGGTCAACATTGGTCAACATTCACACGGAGGAGGAAACTTATTCTGTGATTCTCCAGGGGCCCTGTGAGTGTGTAAGATCTGCGAGGACCTTATTCTCAATTCAATAGAAGATGAGCGGAGACACAGGGCGTTCTGCTGTGCTCATAAAAAGTGCATAAACAAAGGTTATGAAGAATATTCAAGCGGGAACTAATCCCCAGGCTAAAGTTCCATTATTCCCGGGTTCTCTGGTCTGTTGACACGGTGCTGTTTGAGAGATGCGGAATGCAATGGCTGGTTGACCTCTGTCTTCCATAAGGGAAAGAGCGGGCATGGCCTGGATCCACAGAAAACTTGGTCAGGGCTTCTTGATTCCTCAGTAGTTCCGTTAGCCTCCTCTCTCCTCTCCCTTCCCTCCCACTGATGGGCGCAGCTCCACTCTTTGAAAAGTTAAATAAACATGGGTGGGAGTGAAATAAAGATAAGCAATGCCCAAATCGTCTAACAGCTTCTTAGGTCTGTAGGTGGATGCTGAGGTGAACAGCAGTGGGTACAAAAGGCCCCATTTCTCTGAGGTCGATGACCCACAGCGTGTTGGTGACGGGAGGCCGGGGCTCCCAGGGGTCAGGTAGAGTCCTGCTTATTGATCTCAGAGAATTGTGTTACACTATTTTAAAATATGCAGTGAATGACTCCCACTTCTGTAGGCAAAAACCAACCAACAGACACAAAGACATTTTTTTGCAATAAAGCTATTAAAACAATCTCCGTCCATGAAAGGTAGCAGTCCACAAACCGGAGAAGAGAAATCCAAGAGGGAGTGGCAGGTGAAGCGTTGGTTTAAACTGCTGAATACAGAGTGGATCTGAAATGCAAACCCTCAGCTAATACATGATAAGAAGTTATTAACAAGAAACGTGGACATCGATCGTCCCGGAAACCAGCCGGAAGCCCCACGGCCTTGTCCGTCTGGCGTGCACCCTGACTGTCATGGCACCCTTACCCTTCTTTAAGCAGGATGGGCTGCTCAATGCTCTTGTGGTCTCGTCTCCCCGAGGACGAAATCAAATCCAGGAACTGCAGTGGGAAGGAAACCAGAGGGTTAGCCGGGAAAGGGCACAGCCCACACGTGTTCTCACCTTACCAGTGATGGGGTCAGAAGACTATGCGTAAACCAAGGACCAAACTCACTGCCGTGAGTGGGTTCCGATTCACAGTGTCGCTGTAGGACAGGGTGGAACTGCCCCTGTGAGTTTCCCAGACTAGCTCTATATGGGAGTAGAAAGTTTTGTCTTTCATTGAGAGGCTGCTGGTTTCAAACTGCTGACCTTATACTTAGCAGCCCCCCAGCGTAACCACTATGGCCCTGTGCACGTAAAGGCGGGAGGATTTGGGCAGGGAGACATGGGGTAGGGCTGGTCATCAGCTCTTCGGTGGGAGCTCTGTGCTTGCTTCTACTACAGTGCCGGGGCCGGCCCCAGCTTGTCTCCTGTACTCTCACCCTGTCTCCACTATCCCACCTTGAAGCAAGAGGCTGCCATTAGCTGATTGTGGCCGTGTGACCAGCATTTTAACAAGTGGTCAAGAATGCCTCTCTAATGGAGGGATTCCAGGCATCCTGGCAGTGGAGCGAGGCGCAGGGACAACCCACGGCCCTGCCAGCTCTCTGTGCCCACAGCAGCCTTCTCCTCCATCCCCACCTCACTCACACCCCTAAAAGCCAATTGCCTGCCTATATTATGGCAGGGTGGGGCCTCTCTTCTCAACTGAACATCATTTATTTAGCTTACAGCTAAAAGGCCAAAATGGTAGCTGGCCTGAGCCCCAGCCCCTCCCCTCCCCTCCCACATCCAAGCTTTGGGAACAAGGCTGAGAGAGAAATGCTTGCTCCTGAGCAGCAGAAAGGAAGTTAAGCTTTAGGATCCAGGAGGCTTTCTTCCCGAGCCCTTGGGTCTGTAATTTTGGGCCTGGGCTGCTGAGGTATATTCCTGGCTCCGTCAAACATTTGGGGGCCCGGGCAGGTGAGGCAGGCAGGCTGGGCTGGGGGTGAGCAACCAGGAGATAGAAACCCAGAACACCTGTGGGCGTGGAGCGTGGGCCCAGGGGCCACACAGCCATCTAGGAAGCTAGAACGTACAGGTTTCAGCTCCACAGGTGAAGGGTGCATGCCTCGAGGGGCGAGCCAGGACAGGGAAAGCCAGAGCACTGCTCTGCTTCTCGGAACAGAACACGATGCCGGGGAAGGCGTGCACCAAGGGGCCGCACCGCGTCTCCGGGAAATTCCTTGATCCTCCCAGGCTAACTTCCAGGGACTCTCAGATAGCATAGCGACACTTACATTTTTCACGGCGTCAGCATATTTCTGCTCGTTGAAGAATTCATAAAACGTAGCCATGTAGGACTCCTTAAAGTTGGCCTGGAACAAACGAGGTTGCATAATGAGGTCCTAAAAATATCCTGGCTCCTGGCTGGCACTCGAAAAATCTAAAGGCCTGAGTGAAGATCGGCGTCAATCACGACCATGAAACCAA